AGACCATGTAACATTCGTTGCATGAGTGCGGTTCAGAGCCAACGCTTTCGTGGTTGAGCGCGCGCTCTCATTGGCTAGTGTTTTTCGTTAATAATTCAAAAACGAAACTTCAACCAACATTTTTATCTGACTTCGAAAAAGAAGGAAGTTACTCAATTCGATCAGTATATAATATTTTTTTTTTTAATGTATGATCGTCGATTATTCCGAGACGGATGGACCAATCGGAACGAAATCTTTTCATCTTGTAGAGTATGTTTCCCGATTGGTCCCCATGGAAAGCATTTTTTCCCGTTAAAAAAAAACAAAAGGTTAAAATGTATTTAGTATACTATTTTACGACTAAATAGCTTTTATAAATAGCTGTGGGGTATTGGTATAAATGAAATATTATACTTTTGAAATGAAATTTTATACTTTTTAGCGCATTTTGTTAATGCAGCAAGAGGTATTATTAATAATTGTCACGTAGTTGTATAAACGAAATATAAATTATTTTACACTTTTTAGCACATTTTGAAGTCTGTTGTATTTTTTCTTAAAAATTATTTTATAAAAATAATTTAGAAAAATTATTTTATAAAACTAGTTCTTCAAACAGATCAAATCCTCGAAATGACTAACTCAAATAGCATAAGAGCAATTAATCCAACGCCATCTTCTTCAAATTCTTATTCGAAGAATGATTCATTAGCTGAAAGGGTTGAAGAATTCAGTCGCATAGTTGAAGCTCTTTCATTTAATGTTCGCCGCAATAAATTTTGAGATACGCCATTTATTAAGTATCGCCGAGATCGATCAAATTCAAGGAAGCGTTTCTCTGCAAACAGAAATCAGAATTGTAATCAAATATGTTTCTTCCATAAGAGATTTGGTAAAGCGGATCGTAATTGTCAGTAAACATGTAATTTCATTCAACGATCGGGAAACTCCGACGATCATCGCTTGTAGAGACGGTAGACAATGGTCCGTAACACTGTCCAACAGTGAATTTGTGTTCCGATCCCAACTAGGTGATTCTTATAGTGACTATTGCTTCTATAGGTACAGTTTTTGAGAAATTTGATTTTGAAAAAAGAAACATATTTTTCAGATTTGAACAAATTTTCCGACGTAATTATAAAAGATATTGAAATTCTATTTATACTAAAAGATTCTGTAGACTTTCCTGAATACAACGATACCTATCTTTGATATATTATAAATGTTTAAGTATGTTTAATCGATCATTGAACGCGGAGGGACCCCGATTTGGCACCAATTTTTTTAGGATATTTTTCAATTTATCTAAAAAAATAGAGGTCCAGCGTAAAATCGAATTATACCACGCGATAGAGCAGATTTTTATCTTGAAAAATCACCCAGAGAAAGTTGCAACATCGAATTTTTTATCAAGCCAGAAAGCGAAATAGCTTTGCGGGAGACGAAGTACCGACAGTGGTGCTCCGCGTCCCGCCTATATTACTGCGATGCAGTTGCTTTAAGCTAAATTTATTATTATTATTATTATTATTATTTATTGCTATACTACTAGCACATTTGTTATTTATCCATAATTTTACAATATAAATGGATAATTATAAGTTAAAAAACATACCTAGAATTTTTTTCATCCCGACTGACGTTTATGTGGTGTATTTATATCCACGATTGATGCCCAACAATACGCTGCACGCATCGTGGTACTATCTTTTCCTAAATACCGATCCTCCATAACTGAAATTTCTGATGAAATCTTTCACCGTGTTCGTCACTCACATCATCAAGATTGCACGGAAAAAGGTCTAATTGTAAGTGGCAATGTAGAAAATGCATTTTGAGTGACATATTGTACCCTAGTTTTTAAAACGCATCTATTAGTTCTTTCACTATCTCGGTATATTTGGTGAGCGATGTTTTCGTAGAAAATTCTGACATATATTTTCGAAAGCTACCCAGACTTTCTTTTCCGATGAAGTCATTATATTGAAAAATTCTTTATTTCCAATTAAAGTTCTAATTTGTGGTCCTACAAAGATTCCTTCCTTTATTTTGGCTTCTGATAGACCAGGAAATTTCGTTCTTAAGTATTCAAATGTTGGTTTATTTTGGCGCAGTAAAAGGTATCCTTTTCTTTCTATTTTTTAACCGGCTTCGGAAAGGAGCAGGTTACTCAATTCGATCAGTATATATGTTTTTTTTACAAATGAAATGCCAAATAACCAATGCCAGACGTCGTAAAGAAGCATTGCAGCAGAATTTTACAAAAATTAGGATTTTAAAAGTACGAGCTGCAAAAAGTAGAAAATCATGATGTTTATTTAGCAGAGAAATTTCTACAACGAAAGAGAAATAGTTTTCATTGAGTGATTAGGATTTAATTCTCCTCACAATTTATGGATAAGAGCGAACAATGTTCTATAATATAATAATTTGTACTTTAAAATGTTTGTAAAATTATAAAAATTATATGAATAAATAATTTTTCAGTTTTATATTGTGTCTATTTTACTACATCAATTACAAGAAAATGCCACGCACACTGTTAGGTGAAAATTAAAGTGATGAAACGCGAGAAGACATAAGATGTAATTTTTTTAATTAGATATAATTTTGTAAATGAAAGGAATAGGAGGAAGGGTGGGGCAAAAAATAAATTACATCGATACCTTTTGTATATTTTTTTATTTAAAAACCAGAAAACCTCCAAAAGAAGAAAGGAAACAAACAACTACCAGCAATCACGCTGCAACACACAAAAAAATTCACATAAATACACATTAGGCAAAATGTAGTAAATTAAAAAATAAAAACGGACAGGCAACTCACATCAATTTCCTCTCCAAACAGGTAACGTAGGTCAGAAATATCTACACCAGTCGAACCGCCCTCCCCTAGACGCGCCAGTTCACGGCGCCGCTCCACCCGCTCCCGGCGCACGTTAGGTACATCCCGCTTCCGGACGAGGCCTAGCGAAGTTAGGACTGCGGCTTTTAACAAAACACAACTAGTTAGAAATAAATAAAATTAACACACCAAGATTAATTATTGAAGACTGCTCACGTTCGTGGTCAATAAAAGCCTTAAGGGCAAGCACTTGCAAACTTTGAACTTGTCTAGATGGCATCATTGTAAATAATGAAAGCATATCGGAAACGTGTTTATAAAGCACCAAGAAAAAATCCCCCTCCAGCCCTAATACGTCCGACACTCGACTTCTAGCATCTTATGAAACTGCAGGATCTGCAAAAACTCGGAACCAGATCCACCGGGTGTATCACATGAAATTGCAAGGTTTACAAAAACTCGAATCCTCCGGGCTTATAAAGATACTTGGAAATTAGTAATATTTTACACGTGGGGCAAAAAATAAATTATATTGAATCATCTTTTTACAAATAATTATTTTATAATGCCACCAGGTCAATGTTTTTGTGAATCGTGGAATTGTAAAACGTTTGTCGTCGTAGGAACTAAGCACGTTCTTCTCTTCGCATATAGAATATACATTGTGTAATTTTGAACGAATACATCTTTGGTCGCGATGCACTTCCAAACAATCGTGCAAGTAATGTATGTAGTTCTTTTCGTGTCCCGACATTTTCGATCAAAGTCCGACAGACTGAGTTATTATACATCCATTACTTTCATCCTTCATTAGCCCCGATACTTTTTTATTTACCCGCGATATACTGTAAACGTTGTATCATCTGATTTGAGTTTTTATACAGGGTGTCTCATAAGTTGTGTAACACCCGGAAATGGGGTTGTTGGTGTGATTCCAAACAACTTTTTCCTTTACCAAAATGTTGGTTGAAGCTTCGTTTTTGGATTATTAACGAAAAACAATAGCGAATGAGAGCCACGAAGAGAGCGTTGGCTGTCAACTGCGCTCGATCGTGGCATTGGCACACACGTATTCGTTTTCCTTAGAAACGAATAATTTTACATACATTGTTCTTAATTTAAGACCATGTAGCATTCGTTGCATGATTCCCTCGATACTCACGCTGTGCCAATGTCTTTGTTCACGACCAGGGCCGAGCGTGGTTGAAATCTAACGCTCTCGTGGTTGAGCGCGCACTGTCATTGGCCAATATTTTTCGATAATAATTCAAAAATATTTTTAATCGACTTCGAAAAAGAAGTAAGTTACTCAATTCGATCAGTATACTTTTTATCCGACTTCGAAAAGGAGGAGGATACTCAATTCAATGTGTATTTTTTTTTTTTTCTATGTATATTCACCGATTACTCCGAAACGGATGGACCAATCGGATCGAAACCTTTTGCATCTGGCGAGTATGTGTCCCGCTTGGTCCCGTTAAAAAAATATTTTGCATTTTTTCTTTCCTAACGACTTTATTTTCTAAATGTATGTTCGCCGATTACTCCGAGACGGATGAACCAATCGGAATGAAACGTTTTGCATCTTCTAGAGGATGTCTCCCGATTGTTCCTGTTAAAAAAATATTTTGCATTTTTTCATTCCGAACGCTTTTTATTGCAAAAAAACGAACTATTTCATGTACGTGCGGCGTACGTTCGCCGATTACTCCGAGACGGATGGACCAATCGGAATGAAACGTTTTGCATCTTCTAGAGGATGTCTCCCGATTGGTCCCCTTAAAAAAACACTTTTTCCCGTTAAGAACAACCAAAAGGTTAAAATGTATTTAGTATACTATTTTACGACTAAATAGGTTTTATAAATAGCTGTGGAGTACTGGTATAAATGAAATATTGTACTTTGGAAACGAAATTTTATACTTTTTAGCGCATTTTGTTAATGCAGCAAGAGGTATTATTAATAATTGTCACGTAGTTGTATCAACGAAATATAAATTATTTTACACTTTTTAGTGCATTGTAAAGGAAAAAGTTGTTCAGAATCACCTGGGACTAACAGTCGATAAATGATGGCTCTATCTTAACCATTAGCGAAATGGTCGATCCTTTAAAATTAGCTCTTCAAGCAGATCAAATCTTCGAAATGACTAACTCAAATAGCATAACAGCAATTAATCCAACACCAGTTTTTTCAAATTCTTATTCGAATAATGATTCATTAGCTGAAAAAGTTGAAGAATTGAGTCGCATGGTTGAAGCCGTTTCATTTAATATTCGCCGCAATAAATTTTGAGATACGCCATTTATTAAGTATCGCCGAGATCGATCAAATTCAAGGAAGCGTTTCTCTGCAAAAAGAAATCAGAATTGTAATCAAATATGTTTCTTCCATAAGAGATTTGGTAAAGCGGACTTCGTAATTGTCAACAACCATGTAATTTCATTCAACGATTGGCAAACTCCGACGATCATTGCCTGTAGTGACGGTAGGCAATGGTCCGTAATCAAAAAGCCGTCTTTTCATCATAGATCGTACTTGTGGAACATGATATCTAGTGGACACAGGTGCTGATGTATCTTACCTAAAACAGAATGCAGAATTCTTCATCCAACATATCACAAACTGTATGCAGCTAACAATGCAGTTATCGATACTTACGGTGTAATTACTAAAATAGTTGACCTCAGACTTGGTAGATTTGGTAATTTTGGGATCCAGTTCCTTATAGCGGAAGTCGCAAAACTGCAAATCCATATATTATTTCGACGCAGTTTTGTATGCCATTTACGAATATCATAATCATTTTTGTCGAAAATGAACGATTCTCGAGATACCGATTTTTTTCGAAGAATGAGCGCTTTTTCTAAAACACCAATATTAATCCACATTTCGAGGTTGTCAAGTTACGAGTGTGTTATTAACTGATATATTAAATGATAGGTTGGTTGTGTATCGACAGGATAGGTTACGCGGAACCTTGTTTTATGGTTTGGTTAGTCGTGGATACAATCCTTGTGCTATGTGCAGGTTTAATATTTCACTTTGTCTTAGGGGATCAAAAATTGTTGGTTACAAAATATCAAATCTTATAGTTTTCGACTTGAAACATTCGAGAATGCAAGTTAAAAGTTTAGGAAAGCATTTGTTTGAAAAATACGATTATGTGAATAAAAGTGAATAAATTTGAAATCTGTTCATTTATTTTGTTAATTCTGTATTCATTTTTTTATTAAACTGTAATCTCTTTTTTCTGTTATTTCTTTATTTTCTGTGTTGTTTTTCATTTCTTTTTTCATTTTTTGTATATATTTTTGTGTTTCTTGTAATAAATGAATGTGGTGAAATATAATTTATGCAGGTACATATTTGGATTTTCTGTTATTTTGTTTAATATGATTTATGCACTTCAATTGGTGGGGACTTTCCAGTAATGATTAGCTACACCTTATTCTTGCTTAAGAATTTATTCATAATATGTAATCCTAATTAATAAATTACGTACATCGATCTCCGTAGATTCATTCTCTCACAACGCATATGAACATTCAAAACTTTTAATCGTTGCATACATCCTAGCAGTCCACTCATACACATTATTCCTAGCATTCACTCACGTCAGTCATACCATCCTAACAGTCATCAATAAAGCCAACGTCACACAATTTTCTGTATATTTTGTGTGTATTTATGAATTTTATTTAATATGATTTATGCAGCTTGCTCGCTTCGGAGGAATCGGCTGTTTCATAGGACAAGGACAAAGGATTATTAAGAACTACGAAAAATTGTAGTACACACCGAAGGCCCATGAAACTTCTTGCAGGCGGGGAACACGGATTTGGCCGTTTCCGATGTTCTGCTGGCCGCGGAAACTGCAAACAGTACGTGGCAACAGTCGATTCCTTCTTCCAGGACGTCCGTCTGCAATTGCATAAGGCAATAAAGTAAATTTTTATTTTAAATGATTTCATTATTAATTTCAATTAAATTTTGTATCGTTTTTTTACCATATGTTTTTTTTTAAGACTAATGTATTGCTTCACTCGTGACTTTTCCTACGAGGATACCGCAAATGAGGTATACGACGTGGGAAAAGACGAGGATATTTTGTCGACGAACAAACTGCTATTGTTCGCAGATGATAGTGGATCATCACGCTTGCAAAATGCAGGCGGGGTTAATGAAGCAGGATCTGCAATCGTTGTACAGGTAATTTTTATACCGTTTTTAATTAATTTTGTTATTATTCCTGTCCTTTACTACAGTACTTTAAATATTATTTCAGATCGATGTAGCCAAATTCGGCAAAAGAAAGTACAACCGTGGCCGAATCGTCGACGGCCACTGGGTGCTTGGTATGGTCGACACATCGACCAACGATTGCGGAATGGTTGTCGTTCAAGATGGGAGGCGGCAACATTGATCCCCCTAATAAAAGAAAATGTTGCAGCTCGCAGCAGGATCCATACCGTCTCATTTAAAAGTTACATGGTTCTCGCTGCTGAAGGATACATCCATAAGATAGTTAATCACAGCGTCTTTGTTGGTAAATATCTCGGTTTGGTCAACCCACCACGAAATTTCCGGCCGCCGCGCCGCAGGGCGGCCGGTCACGTTAATGTGATATTAAATAAATGTTTTGTACATCCTTTAATTGTTAGCTCACGATGGAACTCATACGCAGAAAATCGAAGCTAACTGGCGACTCGCAAAAGATTGGATGCGTGGAAGGAGCCGCTTCCACGACGAAGACTTTGCCGATCGTCTTTGCTCGTCTTTGCTGATCACAGCAAACAAGGAACAATATGTTTTTAAATATGGTAAGCGGAAGTTACAGTAATTTCACCGAATCAATCAATGCGTTAAACGCCACTAAACCATTGGTTTCCTGAACTTTTCATTTGCATTTTTGGATATTTTAGGTCGAAAACTACAAGATTTGATAATTTGAAACCACTAATTTTTGGTCCCGTAAAACGAAGTTTGACCCTTAAATTAAACCAACCTTCGGTTAAAAGAAAGTTTGGTTGGTTAGATTAGGTTATGTATTTGACTACAGTAAAACCTGGATGAATTCAACCAAGATTGGGACCCAGTGGTTGCGTTTACCTAAGCACGGTATCGAAGCTCGGATGACACGCGACGACCAGCCGAGCGTGAACGTAGAAAGGGACAGACAGTGGCGGAAAGAGAGAGATCCGATGATCAAAGGAAAGAGCCGAAACGTATCGGTGTGACTAATACTAATTCAACTATAAAACTTTCTTATTTTTGACTTTTTTTTATTGAAACTTTTACTAACGCATTGGTGAAATTTTTCTGATTAAAGTGGTACCAAACACGATATAGTTTCAATTATAATTACTTGCTGAAATTGATGTTAAAGTTTGGCGAAAAGCAACAGAGATCGAAATCAAAACTAGTCGCGGTGTCGGCTCTGGTTTCAAAGGTTTCATTTATCCAAGCAAGGTGTCGATTCTGGGCATTTAATGTTGCATTTATCCAAGCGAGGTGTCGATTCTGGGCATTTAATGTTGCATTTATCCAAGCGAGGTGTCGATTCTGGGCATTTAATGTTTCATTTATCCAAGCGAGGTGTCGATTCTGAGTCCGTACACATGTTTTCTTTGCAGCCGACATGCCGATTCTGTGTCCGTACACATCTTTTGTATTCAGCCGACATCATTTATATTCAGTCGTGGTCTCAATTCTATGTTGTTTATTCTATTACTATTGTTTATAAATATAATTCAACCTATATCGAGTTTGGTATCATTTTAATCAGAAAAATCTCACAAATGCATTAGTAACAGTTTCATTGAGAAAAAGTTAAAAATAAAAAAGTTTTATCGTTGAATTAGTATTAGTCACACGGATATTACGGTCGGATCATATTACACGGTTTCCTCGTCGAGCGGCTCGGTTCGCCTAGGGGGATCCCCCCAAGTGGAGGGGATAGCGATGTTTTATTTATCCAAGCATTCTTTCGTTGAATTTATCCAGGTTTTACTGTATTTTAGAAAAAGTGCACATAGACTTTAGGCAAAAATTTGAGCTTGGCGTCTCCCATGGACTTCAATGTAAAAATTTTTCAAATAAGTCGATATCAGCAAAAATGATTATGATATACGTAAATGGCATGAAAAAGTACGTTGAAATTGTAATGGTTGGCTATAGTGAATCCTTTGATCCTTTGACTCAACTTACTTCACCAGGTATTCCTATTCTTATTACAGCGAATTTATCTACAGTGGAGAAAGACAATTCATTCGGCAAACTCTTCTCATAATTGCCTGAAGCACATCAAGTCAGCCATCGTATTGTTACTAAAGGCCCTCCTACTGTGAAACGTCCACGTCGTCCGACACCTGAAAAATACCATGCTGCTAAAGCAGAATTCGATGATTGAACAGTAGAGAAATTCCGAGAAATAGACGAGAAAGTAAAGATCGATTGCGTTAATTAAGAAAAGGAAACTGGAAAGAGAGAGGAGCACGTTGTCGGAGACGCTTAAGAACGAGCTTTTAACGATAAACTTTGGTTTCTGCCTACTGTACAACAGAACGAACTGGAATGTATTATTATTTATTAAATACAACTACATGTTATACCGATACTGGAAATTGCATTCACCCCGTCAGCCTTTTCTCAAAAACTGAGCTTTAAAAACTGGCGACTAGATACCTTGCGGAGACTATCGTCGACTCAATGCTATTACTATTCCTCCAAAAGGGTGATAACTACCTTTTGGCTCACATTCAAAATTTTTCGTCGAGACTTCATGGTCGGAAGATATTTACTACTATTGATTTAATTAAAGTTTATTATCAGATACCTGTTGCAGAAAAAGACATTCCGAAGGCTGCAGTAACAACTCCGTTCGGACATTTTGAATTCGTTGACGTGCCTTTTGGATTAAGAAACGCAGCTCAAACTTTTCAAAGACTTATGGATTTTGCTCTTCGAGGACTAGGTTTTGTTCATTGTTATTTAGATGATATCCTTATAGCCACTAGGAATTAGGAAGAACATAAGAGACATCTTCGCATCTTAATTCAACTGAAAGAATTCAGTGGCATAACCATTAATGTTGCAAAAAGTGTTTTCAGCAAGGAAGAAGTTATTTATTTTCGATACAAAGTGAACTCCACCTATACCTGGCAAAGTGAAGATTATTCAGAATTATCCAAAGCCAACTACAGTAGCGAAACTCCGTCGTTTTCTTGCAGTAATCAATTTCTATTGTCGTTTTCTTAAAGATGCAGCATACATTCAAGCTCCTCTGTATTCATTTCTTACAAAAAGTAAAAAAGGAGACAAGATTCTCATTCAATGGACTCTTGAAGCGTAACGTGCTTTTGAAGAATACAAAAGCAGTTTAGCTTCAGCAACCAGACATGTTAATTCCTTTTCTTGTGCTTCACTGCAGTTCAGAACTGACGCTTCGGACACAGGTATCGGAGCAGTCGTCGAACAGTTCGATAACAATCACTGGTACCCACTTGAAGAACTTCAGTTCAGCGTCTATGACAGAGAATTATTAGCAATTTACGATTCAGTCAGACATTTCCGACATTTGCTGCAAGGCCGTTAATTTGATTACAAGCCATTGATTTATGCTTTCAGCAAACGCGCAGAAAAGATTTCTTCTCGCTAGCAGCGTCAATTAAATTTCATTTCACAATTTTCCACAGACATTACTCATGTATCAGGTAATGGAAACATTGTGACGGATGCTTTTTCCTGTCTGGAAGAGATTAATACATCAATTACTACTAATTCTAAAGGGTTAGCAGAAAATCAGAATAAAATAATTTGTAACAAAAAATACAACCGACTTTGAAATGCACTAAAAAGTATGAAATAATTTCTACTTCATTTATACAAATACCCAACAGCTATTAATAAAATCTATTTACTCGTTTAATAGTATACTAAATACATTTCAACCTTTTCGGAGGCGACGCAAAATTAAAAATACCCGAATATGCTGCCAATAATGATTTGATAGGTTGCCGACGCCTGAACTAGAATCTTCCTAGTAGAAGAAAAATTTATAATTTATAATTTATAATTTTAGTGCATTTCGAAGTCGGTTGTATTTTTTGTTAAAAATTATTTTATTTCACATTTTTTCATGGAACGAGCAGTATTTGTAGGATGCCGTTCTTATTGGTTATTTGCAATAACAATAGTTTTTAACGATAACAAGTTCCATACAAGTTATAACAATAGTTATTAACAATAACAAATTGCATACATTTTTGCAAGTGAGATATCGCGGAAATATCTCTTATTAGATGTGAAAGGTTTCGTTGCAATCGGTACATGCCTTGCAGAGTACACATAAGATACATGCATGCTGACTCATACACCGGTAGAGACACGTAGGCATACGTAGAATTCAATGTAGTAGTAACAATAGTTTTTCACGAATATTTCGGAAACTAAAGCTTTCCGTTAATTATGCATAATGAAAAAGTTGTTCAGAATCATGTCCCCGAGAACATATTTAAAGGTCATTGAAATCGTCCAATTTTGACATTAAAAACTTCCTATATTTTGCAATAACAATGAAAAAATGAAAAATGTTTTGCTCTACAAGATGCAAAAGGTTTCGTTCCGATTGATCTATCCATCTCGGAGTAATCGGTGAACACACAAAAAAAAAATACATACTGATCGAATTGAATAACCTCCTCCTTTTTCGAAGTCGGTTAAAAAAAGATCAAGAATTGCAACATCCCTTTTAAACATCTTCTTCTCTTCAACCTAAACAGCTACAGTAGCGAGCATAGGATGATTGTAGTTGGATGATTCCCTGTGCTGACTTTTTCAGTTCTCCTATCACGTTGACAGTTGGTTCGGTGAACACCGCGGACTTCTTTGACACTGTCTGCAATAATTTTTACTATTTCGTCGTGTATCTTTATTCTTGCTGCCATGATATGTAGACATATGCCTAGTGCTATTTCTCATTGTCTGTGCTATTTTGGTGCCGAAGCTGTTGGTTCGCAATTTTAATGCGTCTAGATACCTTGACGGCTTGAGCAGCTGTTTTTTTTTCTTTTCTAAATCGTGAGTTTACTTGACATAGTGTCATCGTCGGTAGATGATTCTGAGTCAGCTGTTAAACTATAGCAATGAAAGAGTCTTTCCGGAATATTTTGGATAGCTCTGAGGCCCATGGAGGATTGGAGGCACATACGTTGGAGAGAATATTTAAGTCTTGATTTAAGAAGTATTTTGCTGAATTAATGTACTTACCGACCAATACTCGCAGAAATCACAAGTTCTCATCTCTGATGTCCATAAAACATACCCGTTGTTTCACCACCTTCACATAAAGGTTTTCGTTATCAAATGCTCCATCCTTGTCCAATCTTTTAATTAGAACGCCTTTGGTCTGGTGTTCCGGGAGATCGGCTTGCGGTGCTGGAAGGGGATTCTGAGGAAATTCTAATAGGACGAAATTTGGCAGGAGAAAGAAGGAATTGTGGTATCGGTGATGGGGATCGGGTTATTCCTCTTTCCATCTCTTCAACTCAGCTAGTCCTGGGCCTAGGCTGGATTCCGAATATCGGACGAGGAAATTCTGGACCTTTTGACTCTGCTGAACTTGAGGGAGGGTAATTATTGTTTTCAGGAGAAGACGGTGGGAGATCGACCACACCGGCAATTCCTAACTCACCAGTAACTGCTGGAGTCAGCTCGGCTAATGGCTCTTGAGGGAACAGAATTAGTTCAATGGATGTAGTTTTCTTTCTTTGTGGGTTAAACATAACGAATAACTCCTGACGTTTACCTGCGCTTTTTTTAATTTCTTCACGTTGACATTCAGAGTACTGCTGGGTAGAAATCAAATTGCGTCATTACTGTCAGTTCACATGTGACGTATTGAAAATAGGTTATCAATAAATTATAAATTTTCCACGTACGATTATTTAGCCACGAGCGGAAGATTATCCGTTAAATTGAATTGCAAATCTTTAGTCAATAGGTTGTTCCGCATACACTTTAATAAGTGCGGAGGATCAAAGAGCGGCACGATTTAATTATCATCTATTACAATAATATCACGTCGCAATACATCTGATTGTTGAAAGGCATTTCTCTTCGAATAATCTACTAGGCATTGGATTGCCTTACAATTTGTACTGCCTTACTGCCACAAACTGAAGCTACAACTATTAGGTGTATGCAAAAGTTGTAGTCTTTCCTTCAAGCGTTCATGTATAATCACTTGTGATCAATAGAATTTCCCTCTTTTTTGTGTATTTGTTGTGTTGGTATTGATCTATCTGAATTGCCAACTTCATAGTCGATCGTTAATTATAACCTCACAAAACAACAATGATCACGATGATAGACGAAAAGCTATATATTCGACACTGCATTCGATATGAGTTCCAACAAGGAAAAAACGCCGCTGAAGCATGCCGATCAAATTGTTCAGTACTTGAGGAAGGTACTACATCTCACAATACGTGTAAATATTAATTTCGCCGTTTTAAAGACGATAATTTTGATGTGAGTGACCGACCACGATCTGGCACTCCCCAAAAGTTGGAAACGTTATTGACAGAAGATCCGTCACAAACGCAAGAACAGCTTGCAGAACAGTTAGGAGTCGATCAAGCAACTGTTTCAAGGCGCCTCCATGAAATAGTAAAGATTCGCAAGCTTGGAAAGTGGCTAACATCAACACCGAGAAAAGCACAGAACCCGAGAATCCTAAAACCAAACACGAATATTTTCTGGGAGTACAAAGAAATAAAATCATTAGCATGAAGCGGAATTTATTCACAGGAAGTCCTCCAAGAAATCCAACAGCATATCATGTTCCCTCTGGAAAAATCAGCCCTGCTGAACACAATAGCGAGGGGCATGCTAGGAGAAGAAAACGTACAAGGAGGACTAATAAACAATCTTTTTACGGAAAACACGCTATCCCACATCGCAGAAAATACAAGGAGTAAGTTTGTGGAAAAATTCATCAAATTTGGTTCAATTAGTTCAGCAGTAATAATGATCCTCATAATCATTCACATCTGCAAACTAATAATTGACATAATCATAAGAGGATACACATTACATGCATTATACGGATGGTCCCTACACCTACTGGGAGCCATCTTCAGCTCAATTACATATTTATTGATGACGTTAACGAACAACAAGAACATCAAAAAGCATCCTAGAAAAAGACGTCCAACTACAAACGAGGACATCGAACTGAGTGAAATCAAAATAGAGCAACCAAATAGCCTAAAATGGAGAATATCACCACCTATCCCACTACAACCACCTGCAATCAAACCACCCGAACCAGAACCAACAACGCAGGGACAAATATCAGTCTTCGCGCTAGAAGAATTAAACTAAATATACGCAATACAGGAAGGAGCGCAAGGGAATACACACAAATAAACACACACAAGTTCAAAATAAAAAGTAAAATTTATTCAAAAACAAAAAGGAAAATTCATTTAATAACAATACACAAATTCAAAATAGGAAGGAAATTTTATTAAATAACAACATACAGATTGAAAATAAAAATGAAAGAGGATTTATTCAAAAAAAATTTCTAATGAATGAAGAGCGGTGCAATATTTAAAATACGGTCTTTGTCTCACTCCCATAAGTCCTGGAGGTATTGGCGAAACTCCTTCCGCTACTGTTGCACGGCCAACCGATACAGTATGTTGATGTGACCGGGATTGTATACGTCCCGTTCGTGCGCTACAACAAAACACACCATAAGAAAAAAGAAATAAATAAAAAACAAAAAAAAAACACTCGCCAGACAAGAATATATACCAAACACCCCACCAGGTGCACAAAAGGTTCAAGTAACTACAAGCCACGGAGCACCTGACAATACTCGGAGTCAGCACACCCAAGGCTCCCACAGAGTACTCGCTGCCTCAGCGCATACCTCCCGCAATAAAGGATCTAACAAGGCCAGTCTTCCACTCTAAAACCTTTGAATTAAAAATTTCCCTTTAATAAAAGAAGCCCAGAAGTGTCAGTCTACAAAGTTACTCAATACACGCACTATAACTCCGTCATGCACCACTACCGCTTCAATCTCAGCGGGGAGGTAAGTAAATGGTCACCCAAAAAACCATTTACTCTTTATAACACACCGATTAGTAAAAGTACAAAAAAAAAATACTCAGCCCAACAAATCACACAAACTAACAAAAAATTATTGTAATTACACTCATCTCAGAAATTGTAAAATTCATCTAACTCATAACAGCATAAACTATAAATTTGGATAACACAATTGCACTATAAAATCCTTACAAATTTATTCGTTGATATCGTACCGATATGCAACAATCTAGGCGGCTAAGTGTCACGTCCGGTGACGCAATCTTTAAATTCCTTTTTCATCATCCAAATTCATCGTTTCGCAATTCTGAGTGAGCAGTTCATTCGGGTCGGCGTACTGTGAAAATGCTGACAACCCGAATGAAGGTAGTTCACCCGAATTGACAAATCAAGCCCTTTTCATCATTATAAAATAACGCGACCGAATACGCTCGCGAGTTCGTAGTTAGCAATTCGCAGGAACAGTTCGCAGTAACAATAATATCCGTCTTCGAGTCAACGCGCAGTAATACTAATACACATCTTCAACACGACCCGCGAAGTACAATCCGCGAGTACAATATTTAAGTATCAATCTTCAAATTCGTACACGACTCTGCTACGACGGCTCCATGCCCCGACAGAGCAAGATACGCAATTAGATACTATTTACACTTCAGAGAACATAACAAATTTTAAGAAATTTCTACAGTTTACGCACTTTTGAATTAAATTTTGCCTCTTTAGCAATAATTTTATAAAAATCACCTGCAGCATCAAAAAGTAGAAGGTTTACGCTTTAAAATGGTAGTTGTTTCATTAATTTTGGATAAACACTGATGAAGTTATGGAACTTTAAAGATTGAGCTAATTTTAAAATAGTTATGTCCGGCTTTTCGGGCCAAATACCCCACTGTGCGATGGTGATTTTTCGAAGAAAATCATATGGCGCATTTTCAACTTAGTGGCTACGTAAATAAACAAAACCGTCGAATTAAGGGGACCGAAAATCCACAAGTGCTTCAACAGCCACCAATGCATCCGTCACGAGTCACTGTTTGGTGCGGATTTTGGGTTGAAGTGATTGTGTTGTTTTAAATAGTTTTAGGTTTATAAATGTATTTTCTTTTTCACACTTTGAGCTTTGGTTATTCGTAGTCAGGAGATTTGGTAATATTGAGTAAAGGAGTAAAATGACTTGTAAAAAGTGGCTTCTAATAAATCAGTAAATGAATGTCGCAATCTTTTATTCGATTTCAAATATCGAATGTGTTTTGATTGGTCGAATTTAAGAAACTTTAAGAGGGAATATCTTTAAATCTATTAATCCTATTATGATTCTAAAAATCACAAGGTGTGATTTTAAAATCAAAGAGTGTAGGCTGATCCTGGCTCATCAGAAGACCGAGGCTATACTATTAACTGGCCGAAAACTCTCACCTGGTCTCAGTTTCAAGTTGTAACCATCTCTAGGCCGGCCAAATACCTTTGAAACAAGTATGGTGTTTAAACTTTATATTACGCTGTCCTGCGAGAAAGCTTTAAAATATACGAACATACTTGCGCGTCTAATGACAAACAGCTACGGCGACGGTCAACAAGCAAATAGCCTCTACTACAGCGTGGCGGAGTCAGTGATCTTATATGCTGCTCTTATCTGGGCTAGAGCACTAATGTATCAACATAACGTCAAGTTGCTGCAAAGCACACAGAAGACTGCCCTCCTAAGGGTTGCAAGGGCGTATAGTAGTGTGTCCTTCGACTCATTGTGTGTTCTGACTGGACACCCCCTAATTGACATGATCGCACAGGAAAGGGAAAAGATACTCCTAAAAGAAAACGAGGAAAGGAAAGAAGACTCAAACTACAGGGCGGTTAGGGCAGAGGTCCATTTCTGGACGCTAGACGTATAAGCTCATCCCTGACATCGTAAGCTGGATCAGCTTGGGTCCTAACATTTTAGATTTTCACCTTACCCAGGTTCTGACGGGCCATGGATGTTTTTCCACTCTTCTTCACAGTATCCGGAAGCTGGACGACGACACATGCTGGTTCTGCCCGGTGTGGCCGACGACCCAGCGCTTTTTGTGTTCTATCGCAACCGCTGGGCTGCCGACAGAGAGTTCCTGAGCCATGCTACCGGGCTTCCCTTCACCATGAAGAATTTCACGGTTCTCCTTAAGAACCCTCGTCAACGTTTTCTGGTGAAGACCTTTTTCGCCAGATCCCTTAGAACCAAGGAGGAATTCGAGAGATCTCGACAGATACCCGAGGTCGGTCACAGTAGCGCAGCGACAGTAAGGCCGAACCTGAAGAAGAGGAAGAAGGAAGAAGAGGTAAATCGTGAGGTAAATGTGGTGCCCTACCTGGGTTACGATTCTGGGGACTCGATCCGCTACATGTTGCAGGGAGTCGTCTCCCACTGTTCGCAGTTGGTTGAGTAGGCAGATCGACGCAGCATGGCCGCAACTACGTAGTTACAGCTGCAAGGCCACTATGAAGCGATAATCGACCACACCAGAATAATGGCCTCCGGAATAAAAATCCAAAAATTCAACTACACCTTCAAACCCAGTTTCGGCCTCAATATAACAAACCTTATTCCAGATTTAACCCCACATCACATCCAAATCCTGACAAAACACCAAGAAAACCAGCCAAAGTTCACACCCATTAAAATGGACCCAACCAATCTACTAACCTTGCAAGAAATAGGCGACCAAGCGCAGGACATAGCGCAGCATTACCGCGCCCAAACCCACACCGCCTACATTACCTACGGTTCGCTATCAGCCATAACCATAGTCATTATGGCGATAATAGCAGCAGTAGGATATCGGTACTGCAGGAAACGAACCAGGAACGACGACCAGCCTCAACGCCGCAAATTCACGACAGAAGACATCGAGCTATAGATCCATCCGACCATCACTCCAACAACATGGCCCTCGGATCTACAGATACCAGAACTACCGAAGGCACAAACACAGCAACAAAACGGAACAACGAATCACGGCTTCCAACCCAAAGAAATCCTTTATTACTAAGAATTAAGATTAAAACAAATAAGGAAACACAATAAAAAGAAAATAGAGACGGATTCCAACAAATCAATCACATATATTTCTGCTCATTACACAAGTCATCGTAAAAGGGGAGCTATGTCCAGCATGTGGTTCTCGTCCCAGTCCCAGAGGTCGTCCAGGTACTGGCGATACTCCCTTCGCCATTATCGGATTGCTTCCCGGTACCGGACGTTAATATGCCCAGGATCATAAGTCCTGTCCGTCCGCTATGACAAAACACACCATATATATTAGAATATCTAAAAGAAGACGAAAAAAAAACTATAAAACCACTTACCCAGGCAAGGAATAACTCGCGCATAGAAGGTAACAGATCGACACAATTGTACATCTTCAGCTGGTACTACTCCTTTATTTCAAAAATTATACTTTTCTTAAAGTGACAGCACCAGTCGGTCGAGCGGTATATATACCGCAAAATTCCCACCAAATTCCCAGGGGCATGGCAACGGATAGAACCGTATCGACAATTTTCAAATAGCTACCGTGGAATGTCTAGTTCAGCGTATCCGTAGACACCGCGCTTCAAATCCAGTCTTTTTCATTTTATATAAAATCTTTTTCCTCGATATCCATTTCAAAATGTTTAACGTAGGAGGGAGGGGGGGCTGTAGCAACTTCCCAAATAATTTTTTCCCTTATATGTTAAACTGTGACACAAAACTGTACACATCTTCAACACCTTATACATATATTTCTCTTCTTTATATTTGCAACAGCGGCGCATCATTGTATACTCTTCGGCACCTTTTTACCTTTATATTTTTAACAGCAACTTTTATTGTACAAATTTTTCACCATTATACAGGTGTTCGACAAATCGATGTAAGCGCCATTATAAAGAATCGGGCAATCGTGAAAACATATAATTGATAAATTTGATATCGGGGCTTTTTTCACATTTAAATTGAATGAATTACGTTTAAATTGTAATAACATATTTGAAATTGTTAATATAATGATATACACGTCCTTTGGGTTTAAAGGCTTTTGGAAGAATGAATGGCTGTATTTCCGAAAACCTGTCAAATCCGATGTGACTGAAATTTTGCAAATAGCTTCATTTTGCATAAAAACAATGTTTGCGAGAAGGATTTTCGGCGATTCGAAAAAAATTTTTTTTATCATTTTAATATTATTTTCTACATTGCTGACGTACCTCAAAATTAAAATAGGCCGAAAAAAAATGAAGCGGGTGTTTCGAACTTTCTTGAGGACGTTGAACGATCTTCTTCTGTTTAAATTGTTGATACGTCAAATGTATTGTTGTATTCGGCCTTTTCACGTTTTCTGTTTATCTATTTTTTCTATTTATATAAGTTATATAATGAATTATATTAACTTATTTTCACTTACTAAAAAGCTAAGTAATCATGAAGTGGCAATTGAGTGGCTTAAGGAAATTGAGTTAATTCCTACAGAGAAATGGTGTTTAAAACATAAAAAGAAAACGATTTATATTGATTCGAAAGAAGGTTTAGGGCAATTTCGATGTCGCAAACATGGAAAGTATGATCATAGTATTGCAGCAGCACATAATACGTGGTTATTATTATTTCTACTGTTTAATTTACGTTTTCCCATTGTGTTTATGTAGAAATTATGTTTATGTTATATTCTGTTATTTACTTTATGTGAAAATAGGTTTGAGCGTTGCCATCTAAGTATTGAAAGCTGCATGATAATAACGTATGCTTTTGCATGGAAATTCTCATTTGGACAAACGCAGCATGAATGCAGCATTATTGATGGACAAACGGTCTCTTCGGAAACAATTATAGATAGGTTTTCGTTTTGTAGAGAGGTCTGCACAATAGCCCTTGATAAAAAATATGAAACGGAAGGACTACTTGGTGGTCCTGGAATAATAGTGGAAATAGATGAATGTAAGATTGGACGGAGGAAATTTGAAAAGGGACGTTTTCGAGAAGGATTATGGATCCTTGGTACGCTAGATATATATTTAAAAATATTCCGAATACAGGTTAGGTTAGGACGTTAGGCGGCCGGCAACTTTTGTGACTGGCATCGACTCTATTTCGAATAATTACCTTCTTTATATTTTTGAAATTTATTTCATACATTTTAATTGCATTTCTGTTGAATTTTTATTGTTTAATAGGTATGATTGAGCGCGGCGGAAATAAGTATAGATTAGAAATATGCCCGAACAACAAACGCGATGAAACAACACTTTTGGCCTTAATTCAGAAGCATATAGCGATAGGGTCTGAAATTCATACAGACTGCTGGAAAGGGTATCAAAATTTAAATAGACATGGATACATTCACAAAACTGTGAACCACAGTGAAAATTTTGTGGATCCAGAAATAGGGGCGTACACACAAAATATTGAATCTTCATGGCGGAGCTTACGAGCCCGTTTGAGTAGAGGTGGCATTCATCAAGATGATTTAATTGACCATCTCTGTGAATATTTGTGGCGATACGAAGTGAAGAAAAACGGAGGAGATCCATTTCATCATTTATTAGAAGACATTAAATATGTTTATAATGGAAATTAATACAAAACGTATACAAAAAACTGTTGTAATTACAATTACAAAAGATCTCCCCCTATCTCAATTAGGCGCGCGAAGCACGCTTTTTGCGGCAAACTGTTGTAATCTTATTCTACGCGGTGTCGATAATGCAGGAAATTACATCAAAATGATAAAATGTTTTTCGCAAAATTTTGACTCTAAACCTTTGAGTCGCCAAAAATCCTTCTCGCAAATATTGTTTTTATGCAAAATGAAGCTATTTGCAAAGTCTCAGCCAAATCGGGTTTGACAGGTTTACGGAAATTTCGCCGAATGAATATTCATAAAATTAATTCCAATTTGTTTTTAAATGTAACAAATGAATAATAAACATAGTTCAACAAAGGTGGCGGTGAGAATAATCTTGATTAATCTTCCTTATCGACATCGGCCGCCACATTGACATTTGAGTCATGTGGTATTGAATTTTTTTTATCTGAAATATAATAATGAATGTTTTATATGAAGAAAAAGCAATCATGGAAATTCAGTGGCTACTGTTGTAGACATAATTTCCATTTCACGGAAAATCTAATTCTACCACATTTATTACATATAAGAATCATCGCTTTTACTTACTTGCGACGTCGCCGGCCTCGGATTCTCCTTTCTCTTCTTTTTTATCTGACTTCGTTCCTTAGACCTCTTTCTCCTGTTTCTTCTGTCTTCTTTTTTTTCATTTCCTCTTCTACCTCGTCCATCCGTGAAGAAAGTAATTTATGTATAGATAACGTAATATTAATTACGTAAGATTATACTTGCCGATTATACGAGATCAGACAGCATATTTGCAGTCCATTTGTCCTGGTAACGCTTTCTTGAATATACCTATATATAATTTTTTAATTTTTTTCGAGAAGAGGAAAATGCTGTCTTTAATTTCTCAACGACAAAAATGTTCATGCAAAGATGAAGGAAGATGAATGAAGATAAATATTGAAAAAAGAAAAAGTTAATGGAAATAGATGATTAAATAAATTTCTTTTAACATTTTTTTATGATTGAAAATCATTTACAGATCGGTCAGTACGCGTAGTGTTTGGCAAAATGTCACAGTCACAGTCACACTTGTTGAACGTTGCCAACCGTTGCCAACCACACAGATCGGTCAGTACGCGTAGTGTTTGGTAAAATGTCACAGTCACAGTCACAGTCACACTTGTTGAATGTTGCCAACCGTTGCCAACCAAACTGAACATTCGCTTGGCGCGATATGATCGGTCAGTACGCGTAGTGTTTGGCAAAATGTCACAGTCAGTCACAGTCAGTCACAGTCACACTTGTTGAACGTTGCCAACCGTTGCCAACCAAACTGAACATTCGCTTGGCGCGATATATATACATATATATATAAACAAGTTTGAACGTGGCTAACCAAACAGAACATTCGCTTGGCGCTGCTCTTCTCGAGCGATAATCGATACTACCGATCACATCGTCACACTAAAGCAAAATGTCAAAGTCAGGTTCTTGTGCCAGCTATAGCCTCGAACGCGGATCATGCTGTCAACAAGGAACGGTACAACGTGCTGCACAATCAACTGATCGAAATGACGTGCACGACGTTGGACGATGTCCTCGAAAAAAATTGGATCGAGAGCTACAACGTGTACATTGATATTATACGGAAGGGCATAACGAGAGTTACATTGTTTAACAAATTTAACATTATTTTTCCGTTTCCATGTTAATAAATAAAAAAATAAAATGGTAATTATTGAGATTACGGACGGTAACTCCGATTTCGATGATTTTTGAATATGTTGTAAAAATCAACATTTTGAACAACTTTTTCCTATACATATAACCGTCGCTCGGCGTTAGTTTTCGAGATATTTTCGGAAAACTGTCGAAACTAATACATTGAATTCTGCTTGTTCGTGTGCGTCCGTGTACTTCTTACGCGTCAGTGTGCGATCGCCGCTTTTCTATTGTTTTTGCAGGCAGCAGCACGGTGACTAACACCAATATATATATTCATATATAACAGGTGGGCTTAAAAATTAAATTTAACTAATTTTCATGATTTTGAATCTCATTATGTGTGTCTAGTCGCCTAACGGCGACCAGAATATCGCTTTACCCTAACCTAACTTAATTCACTGATTAGGTAGAGTAGATTGGGTTAGGTTAGGCTATATTAAATTCCCAGCTGCCATCATAGCTACGATACATTGAAATCATGAATGCAGAAGTACACAAGGTATATATTGGTCATCGGTCGCCGTGTTGTTGCCTGCAGAAACAGTAGAAAAGAGGCAATCCCATACTAATGCGTACGTTGTCACGGACGCACATGGATGGCTAGAATTCAATGTGTTAGTTTCGACAGTTTTTCGAAAATATCTCGAAAACTAAGGCCGAGCGGCAGTTATATGTATTAGGAAAAAGTTGTTCAAAATGTTGATTTCTACAACATATTCAAAAATCATCGAAATCGGAGTTACCGTCCGTAATCTAAATAATTACCAATAAAATTTTTATTCGTAAAATGATTTTCAATCCCTTGATTCTTACGTTCATCGTGAAATCTGTAAATTTTTCGGATTTTGCTCAAATTTAGATATGTTGTAGTTTTCAGTGATATATAAACGTATCTCGAAGAAGTCGAAGGTACTTTGAAATATCTTTTATAATTATCGAAATGAAAACTATAGGACATTAATAATTTCAAGAAGGGAATAAGAAAAAAATTGTTTCAGCTGAAAAAATAAATTTTGAGTTCTACACTCACTTCGCTCCAAAAAACCTCTTCTCGGGAACTCTTTCTTCGAAAAGCAAATGAGTAGCAAATGAATTTACACGATTATTTTTTGTTTTTTATTAATGTCACAATTATAGTAAAATTCATTATTATATTTCAGATAAAAAAATTACTAAAAAAAATTATATATGGCGGTGGCCACCGTAGAGGAAAATGGGGCGGCCGCCGTGGAGGAAGAGGAGGGCGACAGAGGACGGGGCGGCGGCAGAGGAGGACGAAACGTAATTGTAAATTACTATTGAAAAATAATAAAAACAATTTATAATAAATAAAAAGAATATATGATAAATTAGTACATATCTCTTTATTTCTTATTCCCTTTGTTGCGAATCTCCGGCGAATAATCGCGACGGACCCGCGGGCGAGAATATTCGATGTCGTTCCGTGCGACAAAACACAGTTCGTCTCGCAAAGCCATCGGTATCGTCATCTTGCTCTCTCACTCGCACTCGTACGCATTACGTCGTCCGCGCGATCAGCTGTCACCGGCGAGCATCGCCCGCCGATTCTTTGTTTTCTATTTATAGCGCGTTTAGAATTAGTGTAAAACTGTTGCATCCTCACTCCCTCCCATTCACCTTCTTCAAATTATTAATGTCCTGTAGTTTTCATTTCTATAAGTTTTATGGTCGCGCACGTTATGTGTATTATTTCGTTCTTGCTACCTCTCTTTCGTTCGCGCTGTCCTTTTGTATGTCCGGCAGGAATCAAAATCTTGTCAGTAAATAATAGATACATAAATAGGAACACAAACAGCACATTTATATCGCCTTCGTTATCTTTTTGCATATAGAATATGCGAATATTGCGAAATGTACAAGTTTTATCATTCATTTCTCTAGCATATCTCCATAATTTAATTGATAAAAAAACATGATTATAAATATAAATAAAGAAGTTTTATGGTTTGCCACACATTATGTATTGTTTCATTCTCACAATCAGACCTCTTTATCGGCTCGAGCTGATTCATCATAGCTGTTTTTTCAGCATAGAATGTGATATTATGCTGGACTCTCCTGATTTTGCGTTACGCCAAAATATTCGATGAATAGGTAACGAAAATGTGACGTTGGAAGAACGACACAGACAAATAGCGAAAGAGAAAAAGGTCCCGAGAAAAAACATTTGAGTGAGACAATATTAATTCAACAATAACTTTTTTATTTCATTGTTTATGAATAATAACATAATATTTATTTTTCCAGTCATACAGAACAAAAAAGCAGCTCATTCGCCAATATAGAAGAAAGATGAATAAGCTGCGGCGCGAAACAGCGCCACCGTCCAGCCGCGGTCGCGGAAATGACAGTGGAGGCGGACGTGGTCGCGGCTGTAATGGCCGCAACATAGCTTTTTATTTTTAAATTTTTCTTCTTCTCATTATTATTATTCTTATTATTATTATTCTTATGTTGATGATTAGAATTGTAACAGGTGTGAACAGCGTGACAGAAGTTTTAATACGTTGCGGCAACTATGCCTTACTTGTGGCTATATTCCCGTAACCGTTTGTGGTGTCAAATTAGAATTTACATTTATCGACTGATTTGTGTTTTTATCGACCCTGATGATAACGTGGTCAAATATACCATCAATGCCTCTGACGGAGAATCAGTGAACTATTCTTACCTCTAGTTTACGTCTAATGCGTGTAAATCGTAAATTCCATTTTACGTCTTCCAGAAGTGATAAATTGTGAAAAATCGAATTTCAATGATATTGTGCTAGTTCAAGGAAAGTTGGTCTGCTCTGTTATCAGTGAAAAAACGATTAAATCGTCCAATATTTGCTAAAATGTAGCCAAACGCAGCATTCGGCAGCCATGTTGTTTGCTTACAGCAGCGTCTGTCTCAATCTTACAGTTTCGAAAATACTATTTTTCTTAACGTACGGTGTTTATTAGCGTTCAAGCGGACCAGACCGACCTGTAGCGAAGTCTACCCGTGTGTACTGTACCCAAGAAAATTTCATTTATGCAATTATCGAGACGAAAAATGGAATCTACGAAATCGACTGTCTCTCTCACGCATGGCGTATACGTGCATGCAAACCGTTGATTGTGTGAGTGCACGCATACAGTTCATGGCATACAGAGTCTGTGCCCTTAACAGCCGTAATTATGCCCCTTTTCGAATTGGTGCGAAGAGGGAAGACCGCGGTGCTGCCCATAAAGTGCCGGGGGCGGCAACATGGACGGAGGTCGATTTATTCGATGTAATTCACTGTAATAGTACTAATAGTTTTTCGCGAATATCTCGTAAACTAATTGAGTCTGACATATAGCTTAGAGGAAAAAAGTTGCTTAAAATATCGACTTTTACAACATATTTCAAAATGAACGAAATCGGAGGGGGAGTAGCTTTTCTACAAGTTCACCCAATAAAAATATACAAGGAGCTCGCACATATACGTGGTAAGTGATAACGCATCGTTCAAAGTGCAACGTTGGGCGTGCAAAGTGCACGTATCTGTGAAAATTATTTAAGTACCACTTTGTTCGACAAATGTAATGTACATATCTGCATTTATAATGAGGTTCTACGTATTTTTCGACATGACGGAGAATTCAAAATTTTTCAAAATAACAGTGGTGGGGGGAATTTTGTTATTTAAATAAAGAATTTTTATCAATTAAATTGCCTCGTTTTATGGAGCACTAAAAACCATTCAATGTTTACTATAACCATTTTTTTATATCTACGATAGTTTTATATCTACGAAAGATATACGGGGAAATATGGAAACACCTATCTACCTTCAGCGGTGTTTTCATCCTGAAGAACTGAAATTGGGCCAAAAACAGAAATTGCGCTATACTTCTCTTGAGATCTCCTACAAATCTGCAAAGTTTAAAAAAAATCGGAATTTTCGGAGTTACCGAACTTCCCTTATGAGTGCCAAACGCAGGACAGTTATATTGCTAGTGCATCTCAGGAGTCGACATCGACTTCAGACGAAAATTCTCTCCAGGAAGTGAAAATGCCCAATATTTTGAAGGGAAAATATTTCTCATTCATACCAAAGAAATCCACTGACGACTGCGCTTTTGCCTTGTACAAATTCTACCTACCGGGAGGAAAATAAATCAAGAGACATATATCATCAATCTCCAATTTTCGCTCACATTTAAAGCGAAAACATAGTGCACAGTTTGAGGAATACTGTTCAGAATCGGCAAAGAAAAAACGAATATCTAACAGTCGTGAAATTCTAAAGAACGGAAATCAAAATCAATTTGAAATAGATGTCGTGAGATATGTGATCAATTTAATGATACCATTGAAATCGGTAGAGGATCCGTACTTTCGCCGAATATTTGAGAATTTGAGAGTAGCAACAAAAATTTATACAATAAGTCAACGCAGACTGGGGAGAACAATTACCAAAATGTACCTACATGGACAATATGTATGATGTGAAAGAAGAGTCGAAGACCGTCGAATTTGTCTATACGACTGCAGACATTTGGTCATGAAGACGACGGAGCTTCTTTGGCGTTAATTTAGAGCCGATTGGATCACACCAAAGGGTATAGCCGGATAAAATAGTTAAAAGTGTCCCCAAATCAAATTCGACTTGCAATGGCTCATTCGATAGCTTATCAAGAAAAAGCAGTCGGTGCCAAGTTTCAGCCCTGTATCTCATCTGGGGGGTAGTAATGGGCAAAAATGTAAAATACACGTTTTGGTCAATTTCTCTTATATTTGTACATGAAAAATTCTGAAAAAAATCAGAGATATTTCTATTCATGAGGCACATATTATACTAGCTTTGCAGATTTTTAGATTGAAAACCCGACCTGAGTAAAACATCAAAAACCCCCAAAAATTCGGAAAATGGCGATTTTGTATGGAAGGAGTCGCGGATCAGGATTCATGTTTTTTTTATAAGTGTATATTATCGATACTATTTTTCTCAATTTTTTAGAGAATTTTTAGTAAAAAAAAATTAAAACCCGAGTTTTTCGCTTCATATTTTCAGGTTCATATTTTTTTTTTCTCTAAAGTACATGTTTTTCAGTTTTGTTCAGTGCAGATACATTAAAAATCACATAATACACTAACAAATAAAGGTTCTTTTAAAAATTGAAAGTGTTTCTCATATTACAGTAATTCCTCCGAGATTGCGACTGTGGTCGGAATCGAAATGTTGCAATGACCGTCGAGGAGACTCAAAATTCCATGACTGGGGGGCAAGACTGTCGCCGCGGTTCGCCTTTATAGTAAAAGAGGGTCGTAAAAGAGAAGGATAGCATGAGAAGCTCCTAGTAGGCGAGAAATTAACAACGGTTTAACTTTCTTATTTTTAAAATTTTCTGGATGCAAATTGATTTAACATATTGGTACAATTTTTCTGATTAAAATGAGACCAAATATGATATAATTTGAACTATATGGACAAAAAGAATTCGCATTGGGGATATTCCCTTGTACACTGAGTTGCATTCAAGTTGTCGCAGTGAAGTTGACCACGCATTCACTCACCGACGCGGCGTGAATGCGTTAGTGAATTTGTAGCCAACTTCACTGCGACAAGTTCAATGCAACTCAGGGTACATAAAATAAAGCAAATATGCTCCAAATTATATCATGTTTGGTTTCATTTTAATCGGAAGAATCTCAAAAGTATGTTAAAAAAAGTTTCAGACAAAAAATCGTTGTAATTAGAAAATTATATTACAATATTACGAATTACTAAGGTGCCAACTCACATCAAAAGAACGGCGGCGGGCATAGGGTTACACTGCTTGACTGGCTCGGGCGAGAAAAGCATAAGCACAGGAATAACGCACGCATAGGCGCGGAACCAGACGCAGTCGCAATGTGGGAATGAGACCATAGTCGCAATCTTGGAAAAATTACTGTATCGCACGAAATATATCGAAAATATCAGTTTTTAATTTTTTTAAACACCAGACTGAAAAATCTGAGGAAAATTGAGGACACCAGTTATGCTAATATCTAACTACTGTAAAAGTAAAAATCTAGATTTTTCATATTTTTCGATTACAAATCCTAGGCGTGGAAAATCAAAAGCGCAAGAAAAAGTCGAAAAATGAAGATTTCGGGTAGAAGCTTTCGAGATACTAGATTTTTACTTTTAGAGTAGTTAGATATGCATGATTAGATAGCGTGACTGGTGTCTTCAATTTTTTTCAGACTTTTCAGTCTGATACGCCGTGTTTAAAAAAATCAAAAGCCAATATTTTCAACATATTTCGTGTGATAACATGAGAAACACTTTCAATTTTTAAAAGAACCTTTATGTGATTTTTAATGTTTCTGCATTGAACGAAATTGAAAAATATGTATTTTACAGAAAAAAAAATCAACCTAAGCGGACTCCAACCTACGACAAGTCTCGCAGTGGTTTAGCAGTCAGGCGCTTTAACCGCTGGACCACCGACACCGTTGAAAAACCCTTCGATTTTTTGAGATATAACTCACGTAAAGTACTTTCAATAATTCTGAATTATTTAATTTTTTAAATTCTTATTCCGTTTCACTGTACGTAAAAACATTGAACATTGTATAACACAGTTACTTGATAAAGAACAGACGAAAATTGGCCGTACAAGTAACTCTGACATACAAAAAACAGCGAAAAACTCGGTTTCTAATTTTTTTAAATATGGCACACCTGACCAAAAATTCTCAAAAAAATTGAGAATAATAGTATCGATAATATACACTTAAAAAAAAAACATGAATCCTGATCCAAGACTGCTTCTATACAAAATCGCCATTCTTCCGAAGTTTTTGGGGATTTTGGGCTTTACGACTCGTAAAGAGTACTATTTTAACCAGCGTAATAATAATTATTCAGCGTAATTTATGTTAAAAAAAGCATACGATTTTTATGAACGATTAGATGCATTTTTCGCAATAATGTCTATTATGTATCCTTGCACAGAAAATATAAATGAATAAATGTTATAGTAATTATTATCGTTGGTAAATATTTAGATTAACGTACCCACCTCCAATCGCCTCGGGTTGAGTAGGAGATAAAATATTAAACTTATTTGTTCGAGTTCGAGATTGTCCGCGATTTTCAGTCGAGTATATCGGTTCGGTTTCAAGGAATGACGGTGAGACGAATTAATACTCGTTGAGTGAACAAACACAGTATATTTACAAGACACTGAAAATTATATACACTATTTACAATTCAAGTATGACAAAAGAGTTCGAGACGAGTCAAGGAGTCTCACACGCGTCGCGGTGGTCGAGATTGAGGTTGAGATGTATTGAAACCACGTTTTGAATCAACACTTGTGTTTACGCAATAGCATCGGCCGACAGCGCGAATTCCGCGTTTACAGCGTCGAATTTGCGATCGAGACTCAATAATACAAGGAAATTAAGCAATTCGTTATACACATGTTTTCGCTGCGTATCGTCGAACAGTAATGGCCGAGAAGTTCTCTTCTCGGCTGCACGAGCCGTTGGCGTTGCTTCGTGATGACGTCAAGCACGTTGATTGGTAGAGATGACCGGCTTCCAATGTGGCTGCCGGTCGCGCTGGAGAGTGCTGCCGCGGTCCGTGTGGCGACGGTTTTAATTAGCACATTTTTGAAAATTATTATTATTATTAAAATCATATATAGATGTGATAGGTTAGTTTAGGTTACATATTTAAATCCGGCCGCCTTAAATCTGAGCGCCCGTCCGACGGCCGTTCACATCATCTCCGTTACAAATTCGATCATCGAACGAAAAACAAAGTACGGTACCGAATTACGCTGTACCATTATAACAGAGATTACAGTTAACGCGCTAAAAGTGTGGTGCTAAAGGACACACTCAAAATCAGTGTTTCTGAAAAAATCAGTGTTTCCCAGTCAGGGAAAATCTCACCACCAGTGAACAGCATCAACGAGGAGGACGAGACGATCCAGAAGAACGAGAGCCCCGAGTATCAAGCATATTCGGAGAACTTCGACACATCTCTGCCCAACTGGTCGGAATGCAAAGAAGAGGAAAGCTCCTGCTAGACACCGGCGCACAGTGGGACAAACCGGTTTTCGACGATCGAAAGTCGATTTTCGTGAATTCGAAAATTGAAAAACTAATTACATACATCGATAGAGAATAAACTGTAGTTTAACGTAGTGTAATCCGTTTTTTCATATTTGTTTCCATTTTGCTGTGGTCCGCACTCAAAGTCAATAGAAATTCGCCAGAACTAAACGCTGATGATATTATCCGTAACTTCAATTTACCATTGTAAAGAACTTTACTGAAATGAAATGAATTATAAAGTTTACTAGATTAGTATAGATTCTATTCAGTGCATAAAGTAAGTTAAAATGTTAACAACTTTTTAAATAATAAGACCTGATTGAAACAAAGTACGTTTAACTAAAATCTTGACTTTGTGTAGGATTTTAAAAAGTTGCAACCATTTGCGACGAGTTTAATTATTACTGCAGGAAAGAGTGAACCTTCCTCTATCAGAATCAGAAAAAATTGGTTGTCCGTTTTTGCCCCTTTTCAAGAAAATGGCGATTGAATTAAATTACACCCATCTTGGTCGTTGCACACGATAATGTACTAGATACGCAGTACCAGATACGATTATTAACTAGTTAACTGCATTCGACGTGTATATTCGTCATTGAAACACATTTGAACGCCACTGTTGGTACTTTGTCTCTCGCAAAGCTATTTCGCTTTCTGGCTTAATAAAAAAATCGATGTTGCAATTTTCTTCAGGTGGTTTTTCAAGATAAAAATCGGCTCTATCGCGTGGTCTAAGTCGATTTTACGCTGGACCTCTAGTTTTTCAGATAAATTGAAAAATATCCTAAAAAGTTGGTGCCAAATCGGGGTCCCTCCGCGTTCAATGATCGTTTAAACATATTTAAACATTTACAATGTATTAAAGATAGGTATCGTTGTATTCAGGAAAGTCTACAGAATCTTTTACTATAAATAGAATTTCAATATCTTTTATAATTACGTCAGAAAATTTGTTAAAAATTATTTTATTTTATTAATCAAAAACATAATACTTGATTAAATATTGATAATTATATATATTTATTAACTTATTTAACATTTATATATAAAATAAACATGGGGACTCGCCCTGTGGAAACGGTTGTGAATAGACGTGTTAAGTGAGTGCTCAACAATACTAGGAACAGCTGTTATAAAGAAGGGTGGGAGGAGGTGAACCGCGCCAAAGGAAGCGGAAAAGTCCGGAAAAGGCAAGGAGGGATAAGCTAAGGGGCGGGAAGGGCGGAAGGAGGAAAGAGAAACGATAAAAGGAAAAGGAGCAGTTTGAGGTTAGGAGGGAAATAAAGAAAGAGAAACGGTGAGCAACAGAAGAGGAGGGAGAGAGCGACACCTAGGACACAGGAGAGGAAAGAGATAGAATAGGCAAACAGCCGGTAAGGAAGAAACAGCAGCGGAGACAAGGCACAAAAGAGGGAGATGGGAGACGAGAAAGAGGGAAAGAAGATAGGGGAAGGAAAGAACGAGCAGGGGAAACAAGAAAAAGGGGGAAGAAGAGGGAGGCCATCGATCTTGACAAGTGGAAACCTTGACAAGTGAAAGGTCCCAGAGCATAGGAAGCATGGCGAACCTGGCGGATATATGGAAAAGGAAGAGGGATACAGAAAATGAGGCAGAAACAGGAAAGGACGCCAGCGAGGGAGGTGATAGACAAACAGGTAACTGGATGTTCGGAGAGAGTAAGCTAACAGGGAGATCGCCAGAAAAGAAGAAAGAGGAGGGAGGGATAAGTCAATTAACCGAGCTAATCAAAGAAATGGATAAAAATTTAGGAGGAAAGATGGAAAAGATGGACGCAAATATGAAGCTACTAGGGAAGTACCTAAGAAAAGAGATAGAGCAGTTAAAAGAGGAAATGAGAAGAAGAGAGGAAGAATGGATAGACCAGAAAAGAGAGCTGCAGAGGAAGATGGAAACTATGACGAAGAAAATGGAAGAGTTAGAGAGAAGAGAAGTGAGGGACTTGAGATGGAAGGCAATAGAAGAGAAAATGCTCAGGGCGGTGCAAGAAGCCACAAGGAATAGGAGAGAGGGGAATGAAGGGGTAAAAATTGAAGAAAAACTGAAGGAGCTAGAAAGGAAATGGGAGAGAAAAGAAAAAGAAGAGAGAAAGAGAACATAATAATCAGGGGTGTAAAAGCGAATAGAGGAGATGAAAGAAAGAGCGGAGAAGACCCTAAAGGTAACGGGGGTGGAGGACGCAATAGAGGAGGTGAAAGCGGTGGGAACAGCTGAAAAGGGAAAAGAAATACACATGATACAAGTAAAAATAAAGACGGTCGAGTTAAAGAGGAAAATAATGGAGAACAAAAGGGCGTTAAAGGGGAGGGAGGAGAGATTGGAGGACGACCTCACATGGGACGAAAGGAGGATTCAGTGGATATTAAGAAGAATCGCAAGAGGAGAAAAAGAGAAAGGAAAATATGTATGAGTAGATTTCAAGAAAATAAGAATAGAAGGGAAATGGTGGAAATAGGATGACGAAAAAGGGATGCTAACCGATGGGGAGGGGAGGGAATGGAAACTTGTGCAGGAAGAGGAACAGGGGAAAGGGGGAAGAGGGGCAAGGGACATAGGGCTCGATGAAACAGAGAAGGGCGTAAATACACAGAAGGAGGAAAGAAAAGGAAAGGAAAAAAGAAAGCCAGAGGATCAGATAAGGAAGTGACCGAGGGGAACAACAGGGAGCAAGAAGGAAAGGACGCAGCAAGAGAAAGGAAAAGGGAGAAGAAGGAAGGGACAAGAAAAGAAGAAAAGAAGGACGATGGAAGCTGGACGGTAGGATTCTGGAACTGCGCAGGGGTAAAGAATAAAGACGTAGACTTCTGGGAGACAGTAAAGGAATGGGACGCGGTGGTGCTTATAGAAACATGGCTGGAAGAGAAAGGATGGGACAAGATGAAGGACAGATTGCCTAAAGGATACAGGTGGGAAGCGCAGCCAGCGAGAAGGAAAAACAGAAAAGGAAGAGCAATGGGAGGGATGATAATGGGAGTAAAGGAAGAGATACTGGGAAGGGAAGGGGGGATATCAACAGAGGAGGGGAAAGAGGGTATAATAACGGCAGAATGCAAAGGGGGGAGTTGGACTGGAGGATTGTGGGGGTGTATGTAAATGGAGACATAGACGCAAAGATAGAGGAACTTAGACCATGGTTAGAAGAAATAGGGGGAGGAAGAAGGTCGCTGATAGGAGGCGATTTCAATGCGAGAACTGGAGAGGAGGGGGGAATCAAACCAGAAGACGAGGAGGAGGAAGGAGAAGGGAAAAGAAAGTCCAAAGATAAGAAAATCAATGCGGAAGGAAATAGGTTACTAGAGATGCTGAGGGAGGCAGGTTGGTCATTCTTGAACGGAAATATAGAGGGGGATGAGGAAGGGAAATTCACTTATACAGGGGCCAGAGGAGACACGGTGGTAGATTACGTTATTGCAGAGGAGGAAGGGAGGGAAGGGATAAAAAGGATGGAAATTGGGGACAAGATAGACTCAGACCACCACCCGCTGGTAGTGGAAATGAGAGGGCGAGAAGAGAAAACAACAGATATAGGAAGGAGGAGAAGAGCAGCACCGAGAGGGGATTGGTCAGAACAGGGGAGGAAGGAATTCACAGAAGGAATAACCTGGAGGAAAGAGAAGATTAAGGAACTGAACGAGGACATGGAAGCAACGATAGAGGAGATCAAGAGAGGGCTAGAGAGAGGAAGAAAAAAAGGGCAAAAGAACAAGAAAAAGGGATGGTGGGACGAGGAATGTAAAAAGAGAAAAAAAGAGGTTAGGAAAGTGCTAAGAGACTGGAGAAAAGGGAGAGAAGAGGTAGAGAGCTACAAAAAGGCAAAGAAAGAATATAATAGGCTCTGCGAAGAGAAAAAGAAAGAAGAAAACGAAAGGTTTATAAAAGAGATAGAGGGAGTGAAAACGGACAAAGATGTATGGAGAATAGTCAACAGGGAAAGAAAAAAGAGAGGGCAGCCACAGACGAACATAAAAGAAGAAGAATGGAAAACACATTTTATGAATTTACTGGGAGGGACGGAAGAAAAAGTAGTGATGGGGGTGCGGCGTCGTCGCGTCGTCGCCTGTATGTTTCCTCTTCCGGCGCTCGATTTCAAATTGTTTATTTAACTTTTATTCAGTTGTCCTGAATGGCAATTGTTCTTCATCCTCCGGCATTGAAACATATCGATTAAAATCGGAGCCGTGAAAATTTCAGAATCGCATTCCTTGCTGAATTTTCTCTCGTGAGATTTCCTTTTAAAGTGCGTTTTGAGTTCTTGTGAACTTTAGCGTAATATCTGTATAGTGTAAGTCTTTTATTGTGCAGTATTTATTGCGTATGCCGATAAACAGAACTTTTCCTGTGCGGAAACCTACAACGGCACCGACACCGGAAAGTGAATTATAATTCGTTCCATACGATCTTTTCATCCAGCTACCATCCGCTATGACAGTTATATATGGGATACCGTCGACGACTTCATTGTTTTCAAAAGCTAATCGTCTTTCTTCTTCACCGGCTGCCTGTATGGTATACATTGCGCTTTTCATAAACTGATCTACAAGTTTTTCACGGTACCTCCGGTACGTCGTTTCAGCCATGCAGGGCATGTTCAGGGCGGCGCATAATTCTTCTAATTGTGCATAGTCGATTCCGACTGTAACAGTCGCGGTTGTCGTGGCCTCATTTATATTCATTATATCTGAATTCATAGGTTCCGACCAAACAGTATCTTCGTAATTGCACATTTGGCACTTGAAGAAAAGCTGTGTCAGACACCCATGCTGGCGACTACCGATCATTTTCCAATCGCGAAAATGACATTCAATACCTCGCGCATGATTGTCGAACGTTCTATGTATTTCATTCCAAAAGAACTGAACGTCAACAATGCGGCGGCCATCTGGCACATTTTCCGAAATATGTCCCATATCTTCGTGTCCGACGTCTACGATAAGATTGTCGTCGCTATCGTCCAGGACGTTTTGTACTACTACAGTGGGTTTCACACTTGTAGAATCGCATTGTACAACGACAGTTTCGTCGTTTTCGCGAAGGACGTTTTGTGATATGCGCCCAAAATCTTTATTTGCGAACAGGACGTTTTTCGATTCTGGGATGCGCCCCGCATCATCTTTATTTTTTGCGAATAGGACGTTTTTCGATTCTGGTATGCGCCCCGGATCATCTTTATTTTTATTTGCGAATAGGACGTTTTTCGATTCTGAGATGCGCCCCGCATCTTTATTTTCGAAATATTTGTCTTCGAAAACTGCATCAGCTTGAATCGTCGTTGTCGACGATTCCCATTCTTTCCGTCGCCTGCAAAGTAAAACGAATGTAGGACAATTCACACAAGTTACTGAAATGTACATATAAATTGTTAGCACTTACAGTTTTCTATAAGCTTTTTTGAGGGAGAGTCTTCTCCTGGTATTTTTTGTATTTCCCATTTGTGGTTATTTTTTTCACAAATGCTTGGAAATTTTATCAATAATATATATGTATGTATGTCTTCTATGCGAAGATGTCTTATATATATGTATGGCTTCTATGCGAAGAGGCCTTATTGTTAGAAATAAAGAAATAACAACGACAGCCATGGCGACGCTCTAAAAAGAAACGAAACGCCAACGCGCTCTCGTTTTCCAATTTCACTGGCGTCGTTGAACTTGGACCGTGCACAAGGTTTCGGAGAAAGTGAACAGAAAATGGAAAAAGGCGACAGTAAGTGTTTCTTGTTTTCTTTACTTCGCGAGTGTCATTGACAATTATAATAAGGTGACCATTTGTACCAAAAATATTTTTTGCTTTGTCTCATATACAGTGGGTTTATGTGAGCCTATAATGAAAATTTAAAAAATGTCTTTCGTAGATTCAAATGAGTTATGTGCATGGTTTTAATATTTCATCGAGACCGGTAAATGCATTTAGAAGTTACAATTAAAATTTCCGAGAATCGCAATCTAAGAACATAACTAGTCACGTTCTTAGATGAAAAGCCACGATTTTCAGAAATTGTAACTTCTCAGTGCATTGACCGATCTCAATGAAATTTTCAGCATACACATAACATATTTTTTACACATGTCATATTTTACATTTTCATCACAGGCTAAAATAAAAAAGTTAAAAAATTGCCTTCTCTAGACTCGTGTCCACAAGATAAAAGCGGTGATCTCCAAGCGCAACCGCAACCACAACCGGCGCCGCTGTTGCAGCTGCAAGAGCAGGTGCAGCAGTTGCGGTTGCAACCAGAAGTTGTACCGCAACCACTGTTGCAGATACTGCAGATGCAGCAGCAGCAAATGCTGCAGATGCAACAACTGCTGCAAAAAATAGAACAGGCTCAGTATATCGTAAGTCGTTTTTGTACGTTCCTGTTTATACGTTATTTCTGCTATTCTTTGTTTACACATAATAACAGAATATTTATTTTTGCAGCCGCCCCCAGTACCACAGCAACAGCCGCAGAAACAACCGGCAGGACATACAGTAAGTCCTATTTTTCGCGTTCATGTTTATACGTTGTTTCTGCTATTTTTTGTTTATATATAATAATATAATATTGATTCTTTCCGTAGCCGTATCAACCGCACGTGTCACAGCTGAACGAGCTGTATGAGCCTGAGGTGCAAAACGTAAGTAGTTTTTTTACTTACCTGTTCGTACGATTTTTCTGGTATTCATTGTTTATGAATAATAACATAATATTTATTTTTTCAGTCATACAGAACAAAAAAGCAGCTCATTCGCCAATATAGAAGAAAGATGAATAAGCTGCGGCGCGAAACAGCGCCACCGTCCAGCCGCGGTCGCGGAAATGGCAGTGGAGGCGGACGTGGTCGCGGCTGTAATGGCCGCAACATAGCTTTTTATTTTTAAATTTTTTTTCTTCTTCTTATTATTATTATTATATTATTATTCTTATTATTATTATTGTTATTGTTATTCTTATTCTTATTGTTATTGTTATTATTTTTTTTTTTTTTTTTTTTTTCAGGAGGAGGGGAAATGCATTTCCGCACACCCGGGGGGCTACCAAATGGTACGACCACACCCGGGTAGTGTGGGGCTCCCCCGGAAGCAAGTAGTTGCTTCCGGGTATACCCACTAAAACCCCTCCTCCATACCCACAGTTAACCCCCGGAGCCGGAACCGCGTTAGCATTACTTCGGCTCCGGGGCTGTGCTATTTGCGCCCTAGCGGCGCGGCTCGGGTCATGAGGGGGGTGCCCCCAGGCACCCCTCTTCACGCTTGCGGCGCAGTATGTACTCAACATACTGCGCCACAGCGTCCCACAGCTCCTGGCTGTGGAGCATCACCCCGACGATGTTCTCCGGGGTGATGCTGTCGGCGATGGCGCGCTCCACACCTCTTCGCTTGTCCGCAAAATAATCGCAGACGAAGAAGGTGTGGAGCGCATCGTCCTCCGCTTCGCCACAGAGCAAGCAGTGAGGTGACCCTACCTTCCGCATCCTGAACAGGTACTTACGGAAGTAGCCGTGTCCTGTCAGGAATTGCGTCAGGTAAAAGGTCACCTCGCCATGGCGACGCGACGACCACTGGCCCAGGTCCTGGATCAGGAGCCGGGTCCACCGTCCTTTGGGACTATCGTCCCAACACTGTTGCCAGCGCCCGATGGTCCGCTCGCGGGCTTGCTCCGCGGCGTCCGCTCGCCCGATTTCAGAACTCTGGAGATATATCTCCTTTCGCTCTTGGGCGAGCAGATCTATCGGGATCGTGCTGGCAACAACTAGCGCCGCGTCCTCGGACACTGTGCGGTACGCACACGCGACGCGCAGTGCCCCGCGGCGCTGAACGGCGGCCATCCGAGTCCGGTACTTTTTCACCTTAAGAGCATCCGCCCAGATTTCTGCCCCGTAAAGCAGGGCTGCCTGGACGGACGTCAACAGGAGTCTTCTCTTGCACGGCTTCGGGCCTCCCACGTTCGCCATGAGACGACTTAGTGCCGCCGTACTCTGCACAGCCTTGTCGCAGACCCCACCAATATGCTCCCAGAAGGTGAGCCGGTTGTCCAGCATCACCCCCAGGTATTTCGCGGAGTTGCAGGTCTGTACAGGCAGAGTCCCGACCATCATCGTGATGGAGGTGGGGATTCTTCTTTTCGTGAGAATCACGATCTCCATCTTGGCAGCAGCCAACTGGAGACCGTGATCTTCCATCCACCCGTTGACCCTGCGCATAACTTGGTTAAGCGTAAGTTGGGCCAACTCGGGACTCCGTGCTGTTATGACGGCGGCAACGTCGTCGGCGAATGCGACGAGGAACGCGTTATCGGGCATGTCCAGGCGGAGCAGGCTGTCGTATATGACATTCCAGAGGTCAGGTCCCAGCACTGACCCCTGTGCCGCTCCGGCGGTGACCTCCTTCATCCTGATGCCCTGGGCTGTCATGTACGACAGCCTGCGGTCCCTGAGGTAATCTCTCATAATCGCTGCGAGATACGGAGGTACCCTGAAGGACCGCTCGAGCGCGTGGAGCATGTCGCTCCACCTAGCTGAATTAAACGCGTTCCTCACGTCGGTAGCTTGGGACATAGCCGGTAGACTCACATGCGGGGAGATGGTGGCTCAATGGGTCAATACTGCTGCGGAGGCCCACAATAAGGAGATGCATGCGCTCAACGGGAACATCGATAGTGTTAGCAGCGGTATGGCGTCGAGAGAGGGTCGGTTTCAGGTACTAAGGGATCTTTTTTGGGACCAGGCCTGCACGATGACATACGAGGACGGGCCGACCGAGGGTACTATGTATGATACACTGTTGGCTAACCCCGTGGTTTACTATGCACGCGGACCAGACCGTTCGAGCAAGGCGCTTACCAATGCGGGGACACTACACCAGTTCTTTTCCCCAGGGGTCAAGATAGTGGACGGGAGATATACCATGAGTTATGACCCAATGGTGTTAAGTGAAGAGGGGTATATAAAGCCACCCTTCACAGAGCAGGAAGAAAGGGCGCGGCCAGTATCGGCAAGTGGGTGTGAGAGGGAAGATGGAGGAGGGGAGTCATCCAGTGGTGCGACTGGTCTGTTGGGACCTGAGGGAGAGCGAGCCATGATGGATAAGACTATGAGGGAGGGGGTTGCTGTAGCAAGGAGCCCACAGCGAGTGCCCAGTCCGACCGCTAAAGCAGGATGCAGCAAGGACAGCTACTATGATCCGCTAGACCATGGATCACCTCCAGCAAAGAGGCAAAGTAAGGCTGCTCCTCCGGGCAGCACTATCATAGGGGGAGAGGAAGCGTGGAGGAGGTTGAAATGGGGGAGGCGTCAACCCACGGCTGAGACACGGCCGTCTACAGCGAACAGAGGGGGCTGCGACGGTTATAGAGGCTGCTACTAACCCGGCGCCCTCATGTCCGGGAGTCATTAACCCGGCGAAGGGATTATACACTTATGGGTATATGAGCAATACCCCTCTGCTGGCCGCGGGGCTGGATAGTTATTATTATTATTATCATTATCATTATCATTATCATTATTATTATTATTATTTTATTTCATGTTTTTTAGTTTTTGTATATATTTTTAACTTTTTTATAATTATATAATATTTTCCGCTACTTATGGTGTAGATATTTATTCCCCTATTCCTTATCCTCTGTGCTGACGAAGTACATGGGTACATTCACGATTTTCTTTAGACGGATAAACTAACTGGCATTCGATTTGTAGGAATTCAGAGTACAATTCTCATATTCCTTATCCTGTGCACTGCCGTCAGTCAAATAAAATATTCTCTTTTTTATTATATATTTTGTTTACAGTTATTTTATACCCGTCCATTTCCTATATCCCTCCAAAAAGGAAAAGTGTGAATTATGTATATATACATTCATTTTTCACAATCAGATCATGACGAAGATTGTATATAAATATACATATACTGGATACATGACAAATGTTTATGTTATCTTTTATTTTTTTTATTTAATAAAGTAAATGCATTTGCAATTTAATTATCAACAATTTTTTTTTATAATTTATCAGTTTCTTTTTATTTCCTTCATAGTATTACAATTCATGTTATTCAAAAACAAATATCCTGCGTTCCTATCACATTTATATAGTTCTTACTCCTACACATTCGTACTTCGGAAAAACATTTGATACCACTTATATGTATATATCGGAGTACCATATCGGGACATATTATTTAAAAAAAAAAATAACCTTAGGCATTCGATTTGTAGGAATATTCTTCCCTTGGTTATGTTATATTACAAGAAATGTATATATAATATTTGGGTGAAGGTGTTATGTCATTCATACATTTCCTAGGTGATGTATGCAGTATCGTATTTTATACTTTGTCGGTGGCATACATAATATAGCTATCGCAGCATCCGTGTGTCATTTAGATGTATGCGAAAAGTGATGTAGAATAGCTTGCCGTTAGTTGGATGCAATAACTGTAGTGGCGCTGAAATCAGTTTCTGTTCGGTATAATTTTCGATGCAACGTTGACTGTTTTACCGACGCGGAATTCGAAGTTCGGCCTCGACGCTCGCATCACCTTAAATGCGATTAAATAGAGATCAATCTTATACATGAAGTGAGGTGAAGGTAAGAAGAGCACGCTATTACCGACAGAGGATTTTTACTGAGCACTTGAACTACATTACCATCACCCCATAACTGGTGACCCCGACGTGATCGGTGAAGTAGACTTACCGACATTTCAACGTGTACTTCCACCTGTATGCCGCTTGCACGTTCGCCAACCAGGGTCTCGGACCGCACTGCTTCCGGTAGCGATCTTCCTGTCGCCGATCCGTCCAGGATGGAGAAGTCAGAATCAACTTCAGCAGCAGCAGGAGAAGTTAATGCAGTGGCTAGGGTGAAGCTGCCACCTTTTTGGAAGGAGAACTCGTTGCTGTGGTTCTCTCAAGTCGAAATAGCGTTTGCTCTGTCACGCATTGTTTCGGATGACACCAAGTTCAGGAACGTGGTACTTGTTCTAGATGCCAGCGTCTTGCGGGTCGTTGCAGATGTAATTCTCAGTCCTCCGGAAACTGGCAAATACGACAGCCTCCGGCGCCGAATTTTAGAGTCGTTCGACGAATCGAGCGAATCCAAATTGCGCAGGCTGTTAAGGGGCCACAGCATGGGCGATGAAAAGCCATCGTCATACCTGCAGCGTTTACGAAACCTTGCAGGCGGTCAATGCAGTGAATCCATTTTAAAAACTCTTTTTCTTGAACAAATGCCTGAAAACTTCCGTGTGATTTTAGCGATCAGCGAGGGCATGGACTTGGGGAAGTTGGTTCTTCAAGCCGATAAGCTTTTCGAAATCGTCAGTCCAGGTGTAGCTGCAGTAGCTGATGCACACCCATCCAACGTCGACATCGTTGCGGCAACCTCTAAGACATCCACGGACTTGAGTGAACAGCTCTCGGAGATCCTATCACGCCTGCGTCGATTGGAAGCTCGCGATGCAGGAAGAGATGATAGATTTCGCAGACGAGACCGGAAATCTAACAGACCTGAGGAACGTCGGGCTCGTTCCAAGTCCCATGATGGACTTTGTAGACTTCACGCCAAATACGGAGCGGATGCTCGCCATTGTTTTCCACCATGCAAATGGACCAACCAGGGTCGTCGGGAAAACTACTCGCCCCAATGTCTTCGACGACAGACATTTCAGGGGCTGAGCAGCGTCGCTTCATCGTCAGAGACAAGACATCAGGCATCAATTTTTTAGTGGACACCGGAGCCGACGTTTCGGTAATTCCTGCAACTATTCAAGACCGCTACAAGAGGCGAAACCTTGTACTCTATGCAGTCAATGGGTCGAAAATTCCGACGTATGGAGAGCGTCACATCGGTCTCGACATCGGTCTACGACGACGTTTGGATTGGTCGTTTATAATTTGTGATGTCAATAGGGCTATCATTGGCACTGACCTGTTGTCGCACTATCATCT